GTGCAATCATTACCACTGTTTGTTTCTAAAACTTTTTTGTCACTCCAAACAAACTCAGTAATGATTATGCAATAATTTCCCATTCTCCCTTTCCCTCAGTATTTGGTAACCCAGTCTACTTTCTGTCTCTGTGAATTTGCCTATTCTAGCTATGATGTAAGTGGAATCATATAATAGTTGCTCATTTCTGTCCAGCTAATTTCACTTAGACAAATGTTTTTAAGATTCTGCGTTCAGATTTTGTCCTGCCTTTGTTTAGATAACATATCAAATATTTAAAAAGTATTTTTCCATGTTGCTACATTATAGCTTTGATTATAGCTTTTATAACTTTTATTAGCCATAAAATTCAAAATATGTTTGGAGTATGATGCTTTTTAACTGGTGTAGTAATGAGATTCTGTAGGTTCAAATGACAGAAACCTAACTCAGATTACTTACAAGCCGGGAGTTGGTTGATCCCTAGAACAGAGAAGTGTAGAGGGTTATATCTGGCAGGATCCAGGGACTCAAACGATGTCACTTAATGTCCAGGCTCTTGACTCTGCTGTCGTCTCAGTGACTTCATTCTTAAGAAGCCGTTTGTGTCAGTAACAGCCACCAGCGCCTCCATCCTTGAATCTTCCTGCAAGCGAGCAGCCCCAGCAAAAGGAGTGTCTCTTTCCCAGCATCTCTGGCAATAGTCCTGGGAATGATTCTTGTTCGATCATATGCCTGATGGTTGAGTTCAGAGGTGGAATCATATGATCTACTCAAACCATATGAACTAAATGGGGGAGAGATCATTCCTGAAGAGATTCTGGACCAACAAGCATGTGTCTTATCTCAGTGGTACATCAGGTGCCTTTGATTGGTCACATTTAACATAAAGACATACCATGTTTATGGCCTGAATGAGTAGTAGCACCCCTGTCGTTATAGAGACTATTTTTACATAAATCAGGGGTCATCACCCGTTCTAACCCATTTGTCTTTAGCAGAATTAAATGCTTGCGGGCACCATGAGCACCTAGTGGTGAGCCCAAAATCAAAGAGCAAAGGGATTATTAGGGAAAGGAAGGTGGGGAGGGACCACAGAAAGACGTGCATATGTGAAATGCTATTACTAATTTGTCCACACCGTCCTTTGCGACATCTGTGCCGTAAGTTGTCTAATCCTTTGTGAAATCACTTATATTTTTCTACAAAGCACGTGTATTTCTTTGGTACTGCATTGGTTATATGGCCAACCGCTCTTTTTCTTGTTTCTAAAGGCACAGCGACTCTGCAAACGCTGTGGCCAGGCGTGGAGAGCTGCAACACTTGAAGGCTGGAAACTCTATCATGACCCCAATGTTAATGGAGGTATTTTAATAGATTTTATTCTGAGAGTTGGGATATACTTAACTCTAAATAGCAATTTTGTGAAGTATAGCTTTTGTTTTTAGAAATTGTTGAAGTAAGATTTCATTTTAAACTGTAAACTTTATTTCTTTTACTGTTTTATAGGAACAGAATTAGAACCTGTTGAAGGGAATCCATATAGATGCATTTGGAAAATAAGTTGTTGGAGAATGGCAGAAGATGTAAGATAAAATAAAATATTTACTGATACTGATTTTTACTTTTAATACACTGAAGGCCTGCTGAAAATGCTGTGGATGTTTGAGAGTAGTTAAGAACTAAAGTTCCTGTTTTTCAGAACTTTCAATCAGACTGAAGAATAGGGTAGGCTTTACTAATGAGAGTTATTCAGACATTGAGTACCAAGAATTAAGCACTGNAAAAAAAAGGAGTAGCAAATGAAGTCACAGAATAAGCACTGGGCTGGGTTCCCAAGAGAGAACTGAATCGATCTTTTAAAAATTTGAGTTGTTGGTCATGAAAAACAGAGGAGGGAATTCTAGATAGGATACCTAGGTTGGGAAAACTCAAGGGAAGGTAGGTCTATCAGGTTGGAGCAGAAGGCTCACGAAAGGAAATATTGTCAGTTCTGTTGTGACATGACCTATGCATTCCTAGCAGTCATTGCAGCAGGACAAATGGTGGAGAAAATCCAGAGCTTTGAGGGAAAATGGAGTTAAGAGCACAGTACTCAAAAACCATCAGTAATGCTTAAAAAGATAAAAACTTAATAAAAACCACACAGTTTCACTCTGTTAAATAAACAGGAAATACATAAGTAACTGCAATAAATATGGCAGTTTACCTTAAAAAAGAACTGGAGTTTGCTTGTGATACTGGATATCAGAGGGTTGCAGCTTGTGAGTTACTGAGAAGTGATAGAAGGAGGCTATCTGAAGTCAAAACAAAATTGTAACAATTGATGCAAAAAAATTTAGTTTAATATATACCTGGAGAGCCCAGGGGGCTGGTAGGTGTTTGAGGAGTCTCAGTTTTGTGTATTTCTAAGTGGCTTGGTTCAGTTAGGTGTTGTTTCCTGTATTTGACCAGTGTTTCCTGTGAATGAAATTGTGCATAAAGAAATGGGAAGTTTGTATTATGTTCAAATTGTTCCTTGATAAATCAATTGCATTGGAACAAATTCACATTTTCAGTAAAGCACTGTAGCAGAACTGACTGTAATGGGAAGATGATGGAAAACATTAAGAGCAGGCAGTGGTGGTTCTCAGACGTTGCTCCAAGGAATGGGAACTTTGTACCATAGAGAGTAGTGAACCCTCAAAACCATTGAGGGCACGTGACAGCAGTGCTTTAAGATTAGCGTGGCAGTGGAAAATTGGCTTAAAATTGAAGAACTAAAGACCGAGAAACTAGTTAGAAGCCTATCAGAATTATTCAGACACAATAGGGGCCTGTCCTCGGTTAATATGGCGAGTAGAAAAGAAAGGAACGAAAAATGATCAGGACCAGAAACTGGAAATAGAAGGCAGAGGAAGACTCAATTATGTAGTGAGAATCTCTGAAGTCTCTTGTTTGGATGGTGAGAAAACAGGAAATGTCATTAATAGAATCCAAAAGTAAAATAGGATAATTTGGTGAAAATAATTAATTCTGCTTAGGAATTTGATGCAAACTGGTACACCAAGGGCCTTGTTTTGATGTTGTTCTTAGATCAGTACCAGTGTTAGGTATTTAGAAATTTTATAGGAGAAAACATCTATGCGGATTCTATCTGGAATACAATTTGACTATAAAATAATCAAAGCATCCATTAGAGTTGAATCTGCTTTCACTCTGTATTTGAAATTTAGCTCTTTTCTGGAAGATTTCAGCATTGACTACATCAAACTAAGGGATCCTTCCTTCTTAGTTCCCCAGTAGATCTTTTACTAAAGTTTAGAGACTGTTCGGGAAAAAAAAGTTCAGTTTAGAAGATACTGCAGAATTCCAGATTATGAAAAAATTGACATACTGAGATAAACAGTAGTTCAGTTTTATTCTTTGTATTTCAGGAGCTCTTTAATAGACATGAGAGAGCAATGTACGCAGCTCTAAGTGGGAATCTCAAGCAGGTATGCAGTGATTTTAATAATTCTTTTTTCCTGTGGAATGGAATCAGCTGCATGAAATATTCTAATATAGTAATCATAGAGCTTAAGCTAGTTTCTAAGAATAACAGTGATAATTATGAAATAGAATGGTAACTTGAGCTACTTAATTTGATGTATCCCATATACCAAATGATGTTTTAATCCGTGCAGTCAGACTTCAGTTTCTCAGAATTGTAAATATAATTACAATACACATTTATTTATAACTTTTGTTACCATAGCTTTATCCAGAAATGTACCACTAAGGCACAGTATGACTGTTAGAATTGTCTCACATACGTGTGCTTCTCACAGCTCCCTCTATCCCTACATTTCATAGTTGTTTTGAGGGATGTTATCTTAATTAGTTGAAGCACCATCTTATATCAGCATGGAAAATTGATGCTATGAGAGCCCAAACTTGTTAGAAGATGTGGCTTGAGGGGTTCCCCTGATGGTCCGGTGGTTAAGGCTCTGCGCTTCCACTGTAGGAACTACTGGTTCTGTCCCACTGTCTCCATGTGGGGACTGAGATCCCACACGCTGCCCACTGGCCCCTCCGCCCAAAGAAGTTGTGGTTTGGGGAGAAGTTGGAGACACAGGGTTATTTGGTATGATAGTTTATAATCCACATGTTTTATGTTGTTATAGTGATTTTATAGTTCATATCAAGAGGTTCAACTGCTTTTCCTTTTTTTTGTTGCCTATGTCTGCATGTTTCTGTTTTGAAACGGGGTAAAGCTGCTTCCTGTCTGTGATACTTGGGAGGACACAGTGTGGGCCTACTTTAGGGTGATGGTGGACAGTCTGGTTGAACAGGAGATCAGGACATCAGTAATGACTCTGGATGAAACCGAAGAACTCCCTAGAGAGTATTTGGAAGCAAAGTGAGTGTATTGGTTAGTTTTTTATCATGAGGATTTGTAGCATGCTCTGAAGTTTTATTCTGTAGTCTTTGTTCATGTTATATATTAATGTTACTTTATCCGTTTTCTTGATTTTTGTTTCAAAAGTTGGACCTTAGAAAAGGTTTTTGAAGAACTTCAAGCTACTGATAAAAAGGTAAATATTAATATTTTAGGATAATTGGAATCGGAGACTAAATGTTACATTGTTGTGTACTATAGCTGAAAGGCACAAAGTATGTGGAATCTTGTTATATCTTCTCTTCCTTTCCTCACCGCTTACTCAAGTAAGAATATGCTTTAAAAGGAAGAAACTTAATTGCATATTTAAATGATACATCAGTTCTGTTTATTTGGTTTAGAATTTATTTCATTGAAATACATGGCATGCGTGTATGCTGGTTGATTGATTTCTTCTTGAAAAATTAAAATTGGAATGGAAAATGAACAAAACTTTATTTTCCTAGATCTCAAAATAATCTAGTATTTTTTAAAGTAATATTCTTAAAACTTTTAAAATGACCTTAGTATATACTTGTAACAAAATAATCTAAAAATGTATTATATAAGAAAGACCTTTATAAAATTTCCTCCCAGCCTCTTTATGATTATTCTCATTCACCGAGATGATAAAACATGGATATGTATCCTTCATGTCCTTCTCCATACTCTTACAAATATATGTAGATATTCCAATATAGGATTTTGTTTTTTTGAGTTTGTTTTTCGTGTCATTCTACCTGCATTAGTTTATGGCTACCTCCTCTGCACGCCCCCCCCGCCTTGTTTAATGAGACTGTCTTTGAGTTAATGGATATAAATTTAATAACCTAGCTTATTATTTTTAATAGGTATATAATATTCTATAGAATGATATATCCTTTTTTAATCATTCCCTTTTTGGTAATCATTTGGGTTACTTGTAGCATTGCAGTGAATGTTCTTGTTAGTGTTATTTTAATTCCCTGGTTATAGCAATTAATTCGTATTCCTACAAATAATTTATTAATATGACCATTTCCCTGCCTTCTCACTAGTCCCACATGTCATAGTTTGTTTTTGCCAACCCATCAGATGAGGTAGGAAGTAGAAACTCACTGTTCTCATATTTCCCTGTCTGTTCATAAGACTGAGCAAGTTTTCCTGTGTTTATTGACCATTTTTGAATTTCCTATTTAGAAATTTCACTTATTTTTCTGGTGAATTTTATCTTTTCCTTTTTGTTGTGTAAGATCTCTTTGTATAGTGGGAAAAAAAGTTAATACTTTCTCTATCAAATTTTTCTTTTTTTAAATTCAGTCTGTTTTGGAGATTCTAGAAAATGAAAATAAAACAAATGAGAGTCATTTCATTTTCCAGCAAATGAAAATCACGGAATAGATACAAATCTAGAAAGAGGGGAACATTTACATATGATAAAAGTATAAATATAGAAAATTGTGACTCAATAAGTTACTATAATTAAGAGAATTTTTAAAGTATCTAAATTCAAGATAAAGTTATGAAAAAATTATAGCCTTTTTGTACTTGTTACAGCTAATAAGAAAAGGATTTCAGTTCAATTCAGTCGCTCAGTCATGTCTGACTCTTTGCGACCCCATGAACCGCAGCAGGCCAGGCCTCCCTGTCCATCACCAACTGCCAAAGTCCACCCACACCCATGTCCATTGAGTCTGATGCCATCCAACCATCTCATCCTCTGTNTCCTCAATAATAAAATAATATAAAGATTTAATAAAACAGTGGAATTGGCACAGGAATAAATAGATCATCAGAACACAAAAGTCCGTATTACATTCAAGTATATATGAGAACTTAATAAAGGGCAGGTGACCTTTCTTTCAGAGAAGGAGGGGTGGTTTATTTACATACATGGTATGGACATAATTGATTTTCCATCTGAAATAAAACAAAGCTAGATCTCTGCCTCATGACATGCATTACAGTCCCAGGTGGAGAAAATATTTGTAAAAATGAAAGACTGCTGGAAGAAAATTTAAACAAAAATTAAAACCCTCCTACAAAGGCGGGTCTATGATTTCCTATCTCTTGGACACATAAGAATTGGAGGCAAGGAAATGTGGATTTGGAGAAGTCTGGTGCCAGCTTCCTTGCTGCAGACTCCAGATCAACTATCCCACATAGAAAAAAAAAATTGACCAAAAATGTAGGAATTATTTTCTTTAGAAAAATAACAAGTAACAACAAGTTACAGCAGGTTACTTGTAAATTTATTCTACTCTGTGCCTAATCACTATTTTGATGGATTTTATTACTCTTAGTGCCATTTGCAGATGAATGCTTTCAAAAACCACTGTTTATGTTGAAGAAAATCTTACAGTTTATTTTGCTTTGGTCCCTGTGCCCTTCTCTTCTGGTTCACCATGGACTGTCAAGGAAAACAGTAAAATATATTAAAAATAAAAGTTTCATAACATTCACAGAGATTAAATGTTTTATCACAGTTCTCTGTTTCAAAAATAGTGTTCAGCCTTGAGTCCCAATGGCTGTATCTTTCTCATACTTGATTTAGGTTTCCTAATACCCTTCATTTCCAGCCTTTTCTTTGTATGCATGCATGTTGTGTCTGACTCTGCGTCCCCATGGACTATAGCCTCCCAGGCTGGCTGGGATTCTCCAGGCAAGAGTACTGGAGTGGGTTGTCATGCCCTGCTCCAGGGGATCCTCCTGACCCAGGGATCAAACCCATGTCTCCTGCGGCTCCTGCATTACAGGGTGATTGTTTTACTGCGGAGCCACTGGGAAGCCCTTTGTTTGTATATGTTCCTTCAACTCTATGTTTTTAGCTTACCAATGAGTATATACTATAGAATGACCATAATAAATTTACAGAAAATGTAAAAAATTTTTCAGAGAGTTCTAGAAGAGAATCAAGAACATTATCATGTAGTTCAAAAATTCCTTATCCTGGGAGACATTGATGGTAAGATATATTTTATTTTACTTTGCACGAGTTCTTTGGTTTTTTAAAGTAATTTTGTAAAAAGTTATCAAAACAGTGTATATGACTTACCACATCTTATCATCTCTATAAATATCAACCTATGTGACTGCAACTATATAATTTTTAGAAAATAAAGTTTGAATTTAATCCAGAGGCTGTTTTTTCTGGTAGTTCATAACAGTAAGACAGTGAATTGATAAGAGTGTTATATGAATATAAAAAATGTCCTTGGATAGTGTTTATATCTCTTTTGATTTGTATCCATCTAAATCTTTGCTTTAATGGCTTGTAGGTTTGATGGATGAATTTAGCAAATGGCTTTCTAAAAGCAGGAACAGTCTACCTGGACACCTCCTCCGCTTCATGACTCACCTCATTTTGTTTTTCCGCACTCTGGGACTACAGACCAAAGTAAATAAAAATGAGCTGTATGCTCTTCTCTGCAAGGCTGACGCTTTATACACCTGTTGTCAGGAAAACATGCTACTTTCTGGTTTTTATTTTCTAGAAATGGTGACCATAGTCTCACATTGTCACTCAGTGATAACTCACTGCAGATAACTCATTAATGTTCTAATCTGACTGCAGAATGCTGATGGCTACCTGGTTTGGAGACAGTTTATAACTTCAGTCCTCATCAGTACCCAACTCTGAATCAACGAGCTAATCCAGCTGAACCAGACTTAAGTTTTCTGTGGGATTTTAAACCTTTGTTTTCTTTTTCTTCTGTCCTAAATGATTGGTAACATTTTGAGCAGAGTATTCATAGAAAGCAGAATGACGTAGTAGTTGAAAGCTGGGGTTTTGGATTAAGAATCTTGGATTCACATTCTTATTCAGAAGCTTCTAGTCATGTAAATCTGGGTAAATAAGACCTCTTTAAGTTTTACTTTCTTCCTCTGAAATGTGAACAATAATACTAATTACCCACAAAGAGTTAGGGTAAGTTAATACAAGAAATTTGTTAACCAGTTACCCTGACATGTAGTTACTGCTCAGTGGTAAATACTAAAAATCATTATGGCAGGATTTTTATTAGATACATTGGTGGTACACATAAAGAGCTATATTTATAATTTAATTATTTTTTTTTCCTATGAAGGAAGAAATTTCCATTGACGTTTTAAAGACATATATACAGGTAAACTCTGGTAAAACAGGTAAAATCAAATCCACAATTTGATTCTTTTTTTTCCTTTGACCATTTTAATGAAAACATAAGTCAGAATGATAGTATTTTAATATCTAGTGGCAGGAAGGACATCAGAATACATACATATCTTTTAATTATCATAAATACTTTCTTCTGGAATTTAAAATTAATCCTGTTTAGCAGTACAACTCTGTATACATCTCTCCTAAATATGTTTAAAATTTTGAATTGAATCACGCTGTTTTTCTTAGAACTTGCTTTATTATTGACATATTAACATTTTGATCCTTTTCTATTTTTCAGCTTTTAATAAATGAGAAACATACAAATCTCATAGCATTTTATACCTGTCATTTGCCTCAAGACCTTGCTGTTGCCCAGTATGCATTATTTTTGGAAGGTGTTACAGAGTTTGAACAGCGCCACCATTGCCTGGAGCTGGCCAAAGAGGCAGGTAAAAATGAAAGGCTTCATCTGTTGGGCTCTGTAGGCAGATTATCATTTTGTCTTAGTAACATATAGCCTTCTAGTTTTAAATCCTGTTTCTCTTGAGAGTAAAAGAAGAAATTAAGTTTTCAATGAAATTCTGTTTTGGAATGAAATAACTCATACTGTAACTTGTGTAAAATATCTTTTAGTTGTGGCATTTTCTTTTATAATTTCTTTAATATTTTAAAGAATTGTCATCCCAGATTTACTAAATCATTGCAATTAAAGAATATTAGTGTGAATGATTGATTCTTGTTTTTGTCCCTTCAAAAAATTCTTTAGATTTGGATATTGCAGCTATAACAAAAACTGTAGTTGAGAATATTCGAAAGAAAGATGATGGTGAATTCAGTCATCATGACCTGTCCCCAGCGCTGGATACGGGTACTACTGAGGTAATATGAGGGTAAAAGAGGTGTATTATGTAATTCTGAATAATCCCTCATGTTATGCTTTTCTAAATGTCTGCTTTAAAATACTCTGGCTTCTTTCTTTTTTTAAGAATTTTTCTTTGTCAGCCTAGTTATGAAAATTGGCAGCAAACTAAGGTCTTGTGTAAGGAATTGCTTAGCAGTAGTGTTATGTTAAAGGAAGTTTCTTTAATAGTAAAAACCTGAGCATTGGATTTTTACTCACCTAGATACTTGATCAATTAACTAATTTTTATGTAGTTTACTTATTCCTTATTTTCAGAAAAGAATAGAAAGTTTTATCTAGGAAAGAAAAAGTTGTAGAATAGCACTTAAAGGAATCAGATAATTAAATTGGTGGCACTTCAGATATATAATTCCAGACTGATAGTCCAGTAAGTTTTTTCTATAATTTAATAGAGTTATTAAATGTGAAAATCAACCAAGAAAAGCTATTTTTTCTCATAATTTTGTATAACCCGAAGGAAAATATTCATTAGTAGTACAGATGTAAGCCAATTCTATTAATGTGCAGACTATCTTAGGAAAAAAGCACAACTGACATTTCTTTTTTTCCAATTAAATGAATAGGAAGACCGATTAAAAATTGATGTAATTGACTGGTTGGTGTTCGACCCAGCACAGAGAGCAGAAGCACTAAAGCAAGGCAATGCGATAATGAGGAAATTCTTGGGTATGCTCCATTTTATATTCTTTTTTCAGAGTTTCTTTTTCTGTTCTTAAACTTTGTTTTTCTAACCCTTCCAGTAGGGTAAGGTACAAAATACCCACTCTTATGGCTGATATTGTGAAACAAAACATATTTAATAGTGACTTTTTATGTCCCACTCAATTTTATATATAATCTCAAGGTTTTGAAAAATGGAATTTTTTTTTTAAGACGTAGTATGTAAAAGTAACTTCGGGATTTCCTGGTGATCCAGTGTTTAAGACTCCATGTTCCATTGCAATGGATTTGGGTTCAGTCCCTGCTTGGGGAAGTAAGATTTGTCATGCTATGCAGTGCAGCCAAAAATTGAAATAAATAAATAATGAAAACAAAAGTAGCTACATTTAATCAATCCTTTATGTGACTGTCACACTAAAATAAGGAAATGCCCAGCCATTAGGTAGAAAGATCACCCAAACCTTTAACAGAAGTACTTGGGACCTGGAATGGTTACAGATCGCTATGAAAGTTGCAGACTAATAATTTGACTCCTTTAGAAACCACTACACAGAAATCCATATATATTGAAAAACTGTATATCTTTTCCACAGCCTCAAAAAAGCACGAAGCTGCAAAAGAAGTATTTGTGAAAATTCCTCAGGATTCAATAGCAGAAATCTATAACCAGTGGGAGGAGCAAGGAATGGACAGCCCACTTCCTGCTGAAGATGATAATGCTATCCGAGAACATTTGTGCATCAGAGCTTACTTGGTGAGATTGTAGAGAAAACCATGAAGTGCCCTTCTTTATGATGACTTTCCTGATTCACTCTCAAACTTCAACAACTTTTTTGAAAAGTGGTGATTGACTTGCTCTCTCACCTCCCCTGTGACTATGGGATTCACTATCCCTAAGAGCTTGGACGTCCTGACCTTGTTCTCCTGTGCATGCGCCTCTAATCATTGTTAACCGACACAGTGTGTTCTCTTAAGATTCTTTGAATTCTTAACTCAACGTTAGCATTTCTGCTTTTGGCAACAGCTGGAAAAAAAAGCAAGATAATCTGTATTATGACTAAAATAACAGCATACTCATGCAAAATTCATTCAACAAATAATGAAGTGATTAGCTAGGTTTTAGGACTAAGTCTGAATTTCTTTCCTTCCCTCTGGAAGCTAATAGGCTCATCAAGGACACAGATAAGCATGTGAATATCACAAACATATTTGTCATTTTTTTGTATAAAAAAGAAATATTGAACAATTTTATTTCTTACTGCTGCAAAATTACTTCTAAGAACCAAAAATTTTGTTGAACATATGTGAAAAGTTTTCATTTTTTGTATTTTTCTATTTTAATTTTAGGAAGCCCATGAAACCTTTAATGAGTGGTTTAAGCATATGAATTCAGCTCCACAAAAACCTACCTTGACAACTCAAGCAACTTTTACTGAGAAAGTGGCCCATGAACACAAAGAAAAGAAATATGAAGTAAGTTAAATGTAGATGAGACATGTCTCATTGCATCTCAAAAATACAAGTCATATATTTAAGGAGATCATTTCTTCAACCGTTACATTCCTATTATAAGAGTTGATCTTCCTTATTACTGTTCTGCTTTGAAGAAAGAAATCTGTTTAGTTACCTTTTTGTAGATAATTAACCAAATATGAAACGTACCTTCAGGTGACAATAGTGTTCATTTACATGGTAAACATTTTAGTGTTTTATTAAACTGCAATCTGTTGATGTTTAGTTTATATTTGGCTTACTGAATGTCAGTTCTTTAGAATGATGTCCATATATGTCTTCCATATATGTCTCTGTACTTTGCAAATATATTATAGTCTATTATATATCTGCCTTATATCTGTTTTCCAGATGGATTATGGTATTTGGAAAGGGCATTTGGATGCCCTAACTGCTGATGTGAAGGAAAAAATGTACAATGTCTTGTTGTTTGTTGATGGAGGGTGGATGGTGGATGTTAGAGAGGTAAGTAAGCTCTGAGCATTGTTTATAACTAAAAGCAAAATCAAACAAGCTACATCTTTTTTTTTTTAAGTTCTTTCTCTGAATAGGAGCAGTTACAGATCTTTTATAACCTTTGTACTATATTATAACTGAACATTCCATAATTTAAGTCTAACCTGAAATACTAGTTAGGGAATATATGAATGTCTGACTCCTGGGTAAACTGTTTCTCCATATTTAATATGTTCAGTCAGTATAGTGAAATCTAATTTTTTAAAATTCTGGACCAAAAATCAATTGTTCATGTATTCAACTCAGTCTTTCGAGGTGAAGATAAGTCTAGTAGAGTGAATAAGACATACATAAAGCGGTGGCTCGCACCTCTCAACTGTATTTAAATGACCTGGAGAACTTTTAAAAATACTGGGTTGATTGCACTAGTGGCTACCAGTGGGGAGAGGAAAGGAGGACATCATGGGGCTGTGGGGAGGAGGGGGTACAAACCACTGGGTGTAAAGTAGGCTAGGAGGACATGTTGTACAACATGGGGAGTAAAGTCAGTATTTTGTAATAGCTAAATGGATTGTAACCTTTAAAAAGTGTATTAAAACAAAAAAACCTTTTAGAGTCCCAAAAAGACATGACAGTTAAATACAACATGTGATTCTAAACTGTATCCTGTGTTGGAGAAAAAAAGATGCTATTAAAGGACAGTGTTGAGTCGGTGATGTTAAGGTATTGTATCACTGTTAAATTTGTATCACTTAAATTTTCTGAAGTCGTTAACTGCACTGTGACTATATTAGAAAAAAATTCTCCTTATTAGGAAATAAACTCTGAAGCATTTAGAGGTAATAGAACATGATTATGCAACTTGCCCTCAAAGGGTTTTTAAAAAAAATGTGTTTATAGATACACACACAGAAGCAAGTCGTAAAGTAGGGTAAAGAATGAGCAAAGCAGGGTAAGGGGTATTGAGATAGTCTTTGTACTATTGTTGTAATTTAGTTTGTTTGAAATGATTTTCAATTTAAAAATATTTTTAGATACCAAAAAGAAATACTGGGTTTCACCTCCACAGATTCTGGTTTAATTGGTCTGAAGTAGGGCTGGGCTTTAAAAAAAAAAATTAAATTACCTGGAGGCGTGAATGTATAGCCTGGGTTGAGAATCAGTTACAGAAGTACTGAATGCCCCCAAAAAAGCACATATGAAGTATTTTGTGACTTCAGGAAAAGAAAAAACCTGCTTCTACGCAGAAGAGATCTGGACGGAATCCTTAAAAGGTACAGCATTTGACTGAACCTCGAACGAGGGGTAAATTTGGATGAGTAGAAGTGGGGGAAAGGAAGAATGCTGCAAGTAGTAATGTTGTGAGGGAAAGGTATTGAGGCTCGCTCCTGGGGCGTGACAGAAACAGTGCATTTAGCTCAGTTCCAAGGATTATAAATGCTGGATTCTTGGATAACGTTATTTTGAATAGGAAAATCCTAAGAGTGTTTTTGGTATCTTTCCTTCTGCATCCCCTGAATTCTAATATAGTCAAGTTCTTTCTTATTGTTTGTTTTGTTTTTTAATACTACATTTTTTCCTCACTTTATTGGCTTCCATTTTCTGACCAGAAGCAAAACATTAAGGACAGTTTGCTATTTAAATACTAAAAAATACTAAAGCTTCCCAGGTAATTTAAATACTAAAGCTTCTTAAGTAATTTAATTTAAAAAAAAAAGGCCCAGCCCTACTTGAGACCAAGTAAACCAGAGTCTGTGGAGGTGAAACCCAGTCCTGCTTTCTTAATTTACTACTACTGTTGCTGCTACTCCTGATACAGTAATAATCTTAAAGTCTCCACATCTTACATATAAATTCATAATAGAACCCTGCTAGCTTCATAGCTTTGAACCTTTTTGTGTATGTGTGGGTTCCTTTTATTATTATTGAATTAATTCATTAATTGCCTCTTTACTGTGCTGGGTCTTCATAGTTGCACGGGCTTTCCTCTAGTTTCGGCGAGCAGGGACCACTCCCTAGTTGTGCATCAGCTTCTCGTTGCAGTGGCTTCTCTACTGGGGAGCACAGGTTCTGGGTGTATGGGCTCCGTGGTTGCGGAGCACAGACTCAGCTGCTCCGTGGCATGTGGGCCTTCCAGGACCAGGGACCGAAACCCTTGTCTCCGGCCCTGGCAGGCAGACTCCTCACCATTGAGCTGCCAGGGAAGTACGGTGGTTGTGAATCTTTAGCAGGTTCCTTAACGGTAAACTTTTCTCCCCTGATTTATGTTGATGCTCATGAAGAGAAACTGTCAGTGTTGCGAAATGCTATTGTGTATTTAAGGTTTGAAAAGACTCGATGCCCTACTTATGTATTTGTTATTCTAAGTATTAATTAATCTTAGATAGTGAAAGTCACAGACACTTTGGAATATTTTTAAAATGGAGTTGGAATGGAAAATTATGAATGCTACCATTTTGCTTACAAACATTTTTAAATCAACATTCTCTGTCAATCACTTCTTCAAATCTAATCCAAACAAGAAGCGATTTCTTGAACTAATTATAAAGGATGATATTTTGAGTTGAGTTTAGCTTAATATTCTTACATATTCAGCTAAGCAGAAAATTATTCAGGGCTCCTGTTAGCACTTACATAACTTGTATAAGAATTAGGAAATGGTACCCATTCTCTTACACAGATAGATTCCGTGTCAAGTGCACATGACCTGTAGATTTCAGCAGCCACTCATTTACTGTCCAGCACCATTGTGCAAGGTACAGCTGTTCAACACAGCCCTGACCTGCTATCTGGCTCTTATATCTGCACCTCACTTTTGACATAACCGCAGGATGGTCCCATCCATGTTGGAGGCCGGTGGCACACAGGCAGGGATGGCAGAGCACGGGGAGCAGGCAGGCCACCTCTATCTTCTCTTCACCACCTCTGCTGCGGCCACATTCTGCTGGAAGCGCCAGCTGTCTTTGCCTTGCTTCCAGTCTCCCGCAGGCAGTCCCTTCATACAGATCAGCTAGTAATCCTTTTAAAATCAAAGAGATAGCACTCTCCTCCTCTGATGCTTCTGACGGCTTCTCATTACACTGTGAATAAAAACCAGAGTTCTTTTCTTGACCAACGAAGCCACATACACTGGTCCTGACTGCCTCCCCAGTCTTTGTATGCTGCTCCCCTCATCTGTTCTAACTTTCTGGCGTCTTTGCTGTTCTGCCTACGATGCTCTTTCCCTGCGGTATCTGCATGGATGACTTCCTTACTTCCTTAGCAGCGCACTCCAGTGTGCTCTCTCTTTAGGGGCCCTGCTGCAGCCCCACCCCCCCATCCTCAGTAGGGTACATACATATATATACATAGCAACACATCCCAGTTAATGATTTTTTCTCACGTATAAGGCACTGTACATCCCTGATAGAATCTTTTTGTTTTATATGTTTACAGGATTTTTCAAAGCTTTTATTCATTCAGATGAGAAAAATATCATAGGTGGTAGCAGAGCAGTTTGTTCTGTCTTCCTCGTGGCAGACTGCTGGGCCCGTCAGGCATGATTCTGGATGCTTGATGGCGGCCAGTCTGCTGGGCGGCAGGCCCCTGCGCTCAGCAGAGGCGCTCACACCCTGATACTTGGCAGCAACAGGATTTAGGAGAGACAGGTGCCAGAATCCATCCTGTGAGACCAGGTTATCAAAAAGCCAGCTGCTACTTTGAGTTGGTAAGAGATCTAGGAATCACAGGTACTCTGCCTCTTTAGCATAGGGGAAAAGAGTATATTGGAGCACAAATGGAGTGACCCAGAAAGAAGCGGTCCTCTCATTCTTACTAGGCTCCAAGTAGGAATCACCAATATGAATTATGAGTGAGGCCTTGAGGTGTTTTAAATCTATCTCTGAAGGGAATGAGTGCTTATTTGAGAAAATAAATGAAGATGCTTTCCCTTTTAAAGCTAAGAAAATACAAAGCTTGCATTTCTTAATATTTGCTTCCATGTATCTGTATCTCAAAACAGAACAAAAGATTGATAGTAATTTTTCCTGTGCATAGAAACCTGACGTATGTCAAAGTTAGTACAATTACTCTTTGGTATAATTTCCAGATTACATTCTGTTGCTTCACACTTCTACTTATATCTACCTTTGAAAAATGTTTTAACAATTTAATCTCTCATCTGAACACATTTTTAATGATGAGTATAATTGTCATAAGGAAAAAATTTTAATTAGATATCTTATTAGGCTTTTCAAAGGAGCAGTTGTTGTTTGTCCCATTTTCTTTTACACTATTATGCAGGACTTCCCTGGTAGCTCAGCTGATAAAGAATCCGCCTGCAATGCAGGCTGACCCCAGTTCGATTCCTGGGTCGGGAAGACCCCCCCCCCGGAGAAGCGATAGGCTACCCACTCCAGTATTCCTGGGCTTTCCTGGTGGCTCAGACGGTGGAATCTGCCTGGTTCAATCCATGGGTTGGAAAGATCCCCTGGAGGAGGGCATGGCAACCCACTCCAGTATTCTTGCCTGGAGAATCCCATGGACAGAGGAGCTTGGTGGGCTACAGTCCATGGGGTCACAAAGAGTCGGACACGACTGAGTGACTAAGCATAGCACACAATATATGATACATGTTATTTTTTGTGTCTTGCCTAGCTTGCAGGATCTCAGTTCCTCAAGCTGGGACTGAACCCAGACCATGGCAGTGAAAGCCCAGAATCCTAATCCCTGATGAGGCCACCAGGAAACTCCTTACATTTTGTTTTACACTTAGTCCTATGGATTTCCTTTCAAGTTTTAAGATTATTTCGGAAATTTTGGGTACCTTTTTATTATTTGAATTATTTTACTTTCCAACTTTGTTATAAGAAAATATAGTGAACCTAAGAGGTCTATTCTTTTTTCTGTACTCTTGAGTGTCTACAGAACTTTTTAGAAAGATCCCTGTATACTTATAAAGAAATGCTCATTATTTTCTCATATATGTTTTCTCATATATGTTAGTCCTGTCCCATTCACTGTATTATTCAAATCTTTGCATTCTTTTAATTTTTCTATTTTTAAAAAAATTATACAAAAGCATCATGAATAAGTATTTGCAGTGAGGTTGTCCTCCCTGCGCACCTCTCCCCTCGTCCTGACCCCTTTTCACAGCAGGACCACAGGGTGTGAAATGCCCTTGCAGAATGCCCGGTATCTGCCTGTTTCCTTCCATGTATGTCCAGGGGAATTTTGCTCTAGTCTTGACATTTTTCCTTTTATGCAGATGTCTATTTAAGACATAGTAAATACAGTTTCAGAAGCATTTTGTTTTCCTTATCAGCCTTGTGACTCCTCTGAAGTGTATTTTGTTCATCTTCATGTTTTTTTGCCAAAAAATCATGTCTACTCGATACTGTGATTGAAACCTTACCTTGGGAATATCTTCGTGTTCCAGTATTTAGGACCCCAAGCTTCCACTGCAGGGAGCACAGGTTTGATCCCTGGTCAGGAAACTAATATACCACAAGTTGAGTGGCACAACCGGAAAAAAAATTGAAACCTCGCCTTGTTTTATTTTTAATGTGCCTAATAAGCTTTACAGAAACTCGTTAGCTTCTGCTTGTTGCATTTTGGTTTGTGTGTAGGATGCTGAGGAAGACCATGAAAGAACACATCAAATGGTTCTACTGAGAAAGCTTTGTCTGCCGATGTTGTGTTTTCTGCTTCACACCATATTGCATAGTACTGGTCAGTATCAGGAATGCCTGCAGTTAGCAGATATGGTGTCCTCTGAGCGCCACAAACTGTATCTGGTAAGTGCTAGAGCGTTTGCACTTTTAAATTTTAATGATTTGATGGCCTTTGTAGTAATATTTGGGGCATCCCAGGTAGCATTAGTGGTAAAGATCCCGCCTGCCAATGCAGGAGACGTAAGGGACTTGGGTTTGATCCCTGAGTCAGGAAGATCCCCTGGACGAGGACATGGCAGCCCACCCTAGTATTCTCGCCTGAGAATCCCCATGGACAGAGGGGCCTGGTGGGCTACAGTGTATAGGGTTGCAAAGAGTTGGAGAAGACTGAAGTGACTTAGCATGCACGCACGTAGTAATATTTAATTTTGTGAGATGCATATATTCTTTAAATGTTCTTAGATTTTCTTCAAGTAATGATCCAGTTTTAATGTTTGTGCTTTTTTATACAGAATATTTTTGTATATGTAAGCAGTTAGGAGTTTATAGACTGGCCCAGAGAAGTAGCTTTGAGCTATGCTAATATACTGACCTCTGGCTTAAAATAAATCTGGCTACATAAATCTTAAAAGAGGAATTTCTTCTTGCATTAAGCTAATCAGGTTGATTAGGTAGCTATAAATTTACACTCTTCTTTGTTCTCGTTCTTAACATTTTCTCTTTTTTAAAAACAGGTGTTTTCTAAGGAAGAATTAAGGAAATTGCTACAGAAGTTAAGGGAATCCTCTCTGATGCTCCTCGACCAGGGCCTTGATCCACTAGGATATGAAATTCAGTCATAATTCATTCAGTCTTTGTAATCTAGATAATTTCCATGATAAAGGGAGTGTTTTTGTAAAATACATGTATTTATAATTACTGGTTTTTTTTCTTTTCCATTACCATGGGGAAACTGTAAAATTTAGGCATTGAATTTTGTACTTTTAAGAATATTATGGTGAGACTTTGAAAATTTAATGTATTATATCATTTCCCTGTGTTTATTAATAAAACTATATAAAAACTAAAATTTTTGTTCATATGAATTCCAGGAATGCCCCTCTATGATGTAATAAGAAGTTAAATTTTCTATTCTCCTTTTTCTCTGTGATCATAAGTACCCTGAAATCTTAAAATTATAAAAATAGAAAGTCCTGATACATTTTTAAGCCAGATAACGTAATTCCTCATCATAAAATTTAGTGGTTTTTAAATATTAGAATTAATTAGATGAACAAAGCAAGAATGTTTTCTAAAATAATATTATGTTGTTATCTTACTTTGAAGCCACTTCTAGTTGATTAATTCTCATTCAGTAAACCTTATCTCATAAATTGCAGCATGTAAAGATTTAGCATCTGGCACATGGCAAACACTGAATACATTGGGGACTATAAAATGAGTAAGATCTTATCTAGCCCTTCTAGTAGGGGAAATACAATAAATATGTCTTTTAAATGCCATTAAAAAATACAAGTAATCTGAGTAGGAAGGAACTATTTCCAGCTAAGAGATTTCTGAGGAAGTAGTATTTGAGCTGGAGTCTGGGTAATGCATTGAATTTGCAAAGACAGATCAAGAAAGGGAAGGCACTACAAGTTTAAGAAATCCGTATGAGCAAGGCCTGCAAATGATGAGTGCATGTTTGTGAATCAGCATTTGTGCCAAATTGACTAGCGTGTAGAACTCATAAATAGGAGATAACCAAAAGGGAGAATGTGGCTCTAAGAGGAAACGACATGTAGATTAGCAGCTCCCAAAGCTGGTTGTTCGTCTGACTCATCTGGTGAGTTTCTTATATGTATTTACAGATGCTGCCCCAAGAGCCTGGGATAGGAGTCATAGAATTTGTATTTGGCGTAAATATAATACACCATAAGTGATCTTGATACGCCATAAGTGATCTAAGTTCAGGACATTCTGGCTTAAATCAGAGATGGGTATTGATCCGTATCCAAGGCAAACCGGCAGTAGTTGACTATGAAACTGGCCTGGCATCACTTGGGAAGAGGTGTAGAGGTTTCAGACTCTGCCTCAAGTTTTGATTTATGCTAGTTCAAGTGTTCCAAAGATGAATTGTTTACCTAACAAAACCTCTTTAATTCTTATACCTAATATGCATCCATTTAAAAAATGAGGTAGAGCAGTATGAACCGATGTCAAAGTGTAAATCTAACAAAATGTGTACAGGATTTTATTCAGAAAACTACAAAATGCTAATGAAACCAAAGGAGCAAAATAAGTGGGGAGAGATACCATGTTTATTATTTGGAGATTCAACATAGTAAAAATTTTAATTCTCTCCATGTTGGTATACAGGTTTAACACAATTCCTTTGAAATGCTAGCATGAGACAGAGTATGTAAATTGGTACAGTGGAATTAATGCTAATTTTCTTAGGTGTGATACTGGTATTGTGGCTGGGTAGGAGAGTATTCTGGGTAGGAAACATACTGAAATATTTAGAAATGAATGGTCATGAAGTCTGTACTTTACTTTGAAATGGTTTAGCTTTAAAATAAAAGTCTACATAGATAAAGCAAATATGAAAAAATGTTAACCAGTGAATCTATGGACCAGTGAATCTATGGGAAGGGCACAAGATTTAAATTTTTTCAAATAAAAAATTCGGGTGGAGTTTAGTAAATTATGAGGAAAACAACTGAATATCTGTATGGAAAATAGTCAACCTTGACCCTTAGTTGATACTGTACACAAAGATTATAAACCTGAATAAAAACACTAAAACTGTAAAACTTTTAAGAAAAATAGAGACTATCTTTGTAACCTAGAGGGTAGGTAAAGATTTACTATACAACAGACAGGAAGCAGTTACATTAAGGAAAAAGATTGATTACTTAGACTTCATCAAAACATAAAATTTATGCTCAGATATGCAGATGACACCACTTTAATGTCAGAAAGTGAAGAGGAACTAAAGCGCCTCTTGATGAACGTGAAAGAGGAAAGTGAAAAACTGGCTCAAAACTCAGCATTCATAAAACGAAGATCATGGCATCTGATCCCATCATGGCAAATAGATGAGGAAAAAGTGGAAACAGTGACAGATTTCATTTTCTTGGGCTCCAAAACCACTGTGGATGGTGACTGCAGCCATGAAATTAAAAGATGCTTGCTCCTTGGAAGAAAAACTATGACAAACCTAGACAGCGTATTAAAAAGCAGAGACATCACTTTGCCAACAAAGATCCATATAGTCAAAGCTGAGGTTTTTCCAGTTATGTTCGGATGTGAGAGTTGGACCATAAAGAAAACTGCTGAAGAACTGATGCCTGTAAACTGTGGTGTTTGAATAGACTCTTGAGAGTCCCTTGGACAGCAAGGAGATCCAACCAGTCAATCCTAAAGGGCATCAGCCCTGAATATTCACTGGAAGGACTGATGCTGAAGCTGAAACTCCCAATACTTTGGCACCTGAGGCAAAGAGCCGACTCACTGGAAAAAAGTCTTGATGCTGGGAAAGATTGAGGGCAAGAGAAGGGGGCGACAGAGGGTGAGATATTTGGGTGGCACCATTGACTCAATGGACATGAGTTAGAGTAAATTCTGGGAGATAGTGAAGGACCGGGAGGCCTGGCATGCTGCAGTCCATGGGGTCACAAAGAGTTGCACATGACTTAGTGGCTGAACAACAACAATCTTTAAAGATACCATTAAGACAATAAGGCACAGAGTGGGAGGAAATATTTGCCAAAGAATAACTGGCCAAAAAAACCTTGTTTCCAGCATACATAAAGAACTTGCAACTTTCTGTCAGTCTCAGTAGTTAGGACTCTGCGCTTCCATTTCAGGGGGCTTGGGTTAGATCTCTGGTGGGGGAACTAAGATCTTACACACCTTGCAGCGAGGCCAAAAAATAAAACATATAAAAAGGAACTCTTACAACTTAATACAAAGACAAAAAAAAAAAAAAAAGTAAATACTAGAACAGATGATTCTTTTTTTTTTTTAGAACAGATGATTCTTAAAGGAGGACAAATACCTAACCAGTGTACCCATGAAAAATGCTCAGATCAATGGTGAACACAGATTAAAACCATGAAATGTCACTACACATCCATCAGAATGGCTAAAATCAACAAGACTTAACCAAGTGTGTGAGAAGATGTGGAGTAACTGACTTGGACACAGTAAAATGGGTAGTCTTTGGGGGAACATTTTAACTATTATAATCACTTATTCTTTAATCTAGAAATTTCATGCCTACATATTTACATGAGAGAAATGAAAATAAATTCCACAAATACCTGTACAAAATATTCATAGCAGCATTATTTATAATAGCCTCAGATTGGAAACCCAAATGCGTATCAATAGGAGAATGACTAAACAAAGAAGTACTATGCAGCAACGTGGAAAGGAAAGAACTGATCTGTTCAGCAAAACCTAGCCACAAATAGTAAATACTATATGATAATTTACATGAAGTTCTAAAACAGTCAAAACTAATCTAAGGTGAAGAAAAATTAGAACTGATTTCTTCTTTGTGTGGGGTGGGGATTTTCTAGGGAATTTGTGTGGTGATGGAAATGTTCTATACCTTGAGAGGGGTGTGGATTACAAAGTGAATCCAAGTGTCAAAAACTGTATAAGATTTACGCATTTGAATGAACGTAAATTGGCTGTTTAAAAATTAAATGTGGGAGTGGGTATACAAGAAACAAAAATGGCAGTTGGTGAAGCCAGGAGATGGGTACAGGAAGGTTCACCGTACTATTTTAATTTTGCATATGTTTGGAATTTTTCATAATGAAAAGGAGGGGAAATGGGCTGGAAGCCATAGAAATTTGGGTTTGAATCTTACCCTCATCTATTCTAGCTGCAAGATAACACTCATGACCTCTATTCCAACATCTGTCAATGGGACTAAGGATAATAATCACGTTTCAGGACTAGTAAGGATTAGGGCTCCTATGCTTTGGTGAAGAAGGTAGAGAAAGCCACTTAACCAACTACATCAGCCTTGGAGATGTACAAAAGTTCTGAAATAATGGGCAACTGGGTGAATGTCAGAAATTGAGGTTAGGCTCATGGATGCCTTGAATCAAGGCAGTTGGAATCCATTAGATATTTTTATATTTTAACCCAAATATCAGAGTTCATGTTTTAACTTCAAATATTCTAAGAGAAACAGAGGAGTGATAAAAAAAATTTATCAACCATGTTAAGATTATCAGTCTAAATCTGTTATCACAAGGAAACAGTGAATTGAGTAGACTAAAAGAAGACAGGCTATCTAAGGCTAGGCTCTTAACTGGGAAGCAAATGAGGGTAAACAGCTAGTAAATCACTAGTAGGGTTCTGCAGATCCAAACTGGAAGACAGGGTGGCAGTATAAACATACAATTGAAAAGGCACACAATTCTAGTAAGAATTGGTAGAGTTTGCGGGCATGACAGGAAGAAAAGCATTATCGGGAAGACCCTGTTAGGAAAGACAGACTTTAGACTTTCCCTAATTAACTTCTCATCTTAATTTGAATCATTTCCTTGAGGTAATTCCTTGACCCAAGGAATTATTGACTTCCTCCCCAAGTTAGATCAGGTTCTCTTAGTACACATTCATAGAAACATATTTTGTTACTTCTTCAGAACTTTCATTTGTCGTAGTTTATAATTGTATGTCTTCTCTCACTGACATCTATGAGAAGGGGTTTTGTCTGGCTTTACTTGCCAGTATCTCCCAAGTACCAAATACAGTGCCTTGCACAAAACAGGTGCTCAATATTTGAATAATTCTGAATTCAAAGAGGAAATGAAAACTGTCAAGCTAAAGAATTAAGGAAAATGAATATTACATTGTCCTGAAGACTGTGTGCAAAGCTATTCGAAAAGAGGACTCTCACAGCTTTACATCTTTCTATTTTTGAATAAAAATAAATGAATTAAACTTTCTATTGAATAAATCAGGAGAGAATTAATGAAAAAAGTAATGAAACAAAATCAGAATTTTCTAAAAAGGCAGTAAAATAGTTACCCACAAGGCTAATCAAAGGACAAAGAAAACCAAAATGCATGTTTAGAATAAAGTGACGTAACAACAGATGAAATAAATTGAAAATATGGTAAAACACTATGCACAGTTCTGACGAAATACATTAGAACATCTAAAATGGACACTTCTAGGACAATGAAAAGCCAAGCTTTTTTTCAAAAAAATATCTGAATAGTAACTATGATGAGTATATACGTAGGTTCATCCTACAGTCTACTCTTCTGTATGTTTCGATTTTATAAATAAAATGTTTAAAAATATGCTTTCAAGAAGTAATGCTAAAAAAAAAAAAAAGAAGTAATGCTTTCCCCTGTCTGATAAGGACTAAATTTGCTCAACACTAACAGTAGCTGACAAGTCGATCCAACCAACACACAGGAAATGTCCAATAAAGGGGTCCCAGATTGGTACAGCCGGGTTTAGCTAACTCGGGTGGTAGGGCAAGGAGAATTCGGCTCGCCTCATCCGGAGCGCCACGCGCCTGCGCAGGTGAGGCTGCTCCTCTAACTGCTAGAGGGCGGAAGCGCGGGTGCCCTGAGCCACGTGACCACGGATGGAAGGGGCGGGGCGCGCGGGACGTGCCGCCGCGTAGTCGCAGGCTGAATGGGCGGCGGCAGAACATGTGTGCTCCCTGAGGTTGCTGCTCGGCTGGGATCCGAAGGTTGAATGTCTCTCCGCAGCCGGACCGTGAAGCCGGCGGCTGCGATAACGTGGCGGCGGCGAAGGCAGAGGGCAGCCGGAGACAGGCCGGGAGCCCCTTTCCGAGGCTGACGGCCCCCGGCTACGCGAGAGTCATGGCATCGCTGGCGGATCGAGTACGGGGCAACGGGCGCATCGCCGTCGGGCTCCTACTCAACCTGCTGGTGTCCATCTGCATTGTGTTCCTTAACAAATGGATCTATGTCCACTACGGCTTCCCCAACATGAGCCTGACCCTGGTGCACTTCGTGGTCACTTGGCTGGGCTTGTACGTCTGCCAGAAGCTGGACATCTTTGCCCCCAAAAGTCTGCCGCCTTCCAAGCTCCTCCTCCTGGCCCTCAGCTTCTGTGGCTTCGTGGTCTTCACCAACTTATCTTTGCAGAATAACACCATAGGCACCTATCAGCTGGCCAAGGCCATGACCACGCCGGTAATCATAGTCATCCAGACCCTCTGCTACAAGAAAACCTTCTCCACCAAAATACGGCTCACGCTGGTGAGTAGCTTCAGCCGGGTGAGGTGCGCCTCGTAACAACTCACCTGGACCATCTTTCTCCCCCCCGGGGAAGTTTGAATGAGGGAAGTAACGTTGCGCCATCCTCTTTCCCATGATCCTAAAATCCACACTTGAGTCATTTGTGAACTTCACGCTTATTTGGGAAAGGTGAAAAAAAGCCATCTTGGCCCTCTGTTGGGCTTTCAGCACAGTGGAGTGTACCTGTGTGAGTTCTGGTAACTACTGTTTGATGGAAATCCTTATGCTGTGATTTCTTTCTGAGGAAGAAAGAAAGCTGTATTGAGGGATGCAAATCTGTATCAGGTTAAGTGGAAAATCTCAAACTGACTTTATGATAAACGTTAAATGTCTCTCAGGATATGTTTGCGTTGACATACTGCGGAGGTTTCATAGTCTTTACATAAAAAAAAAGATGGGCTAAAATAATTTTAGTACCTCGTAACTTACAGAACTTAAAATCTTAATGCTTTTGTTATACCCTTGCGTTTATATGTTGTTTAGACACTAGTTTTGTAGTCCATTTACTCCGATGTGCTCGCATGTGGTATTTTCATGCAAAGTGCAATGTATGGACTCATTGTTTTACTCAGAATTTTAGATAAAATTAAATGTGAACAAAAATATAGAATTATTTTATTCAACTTTGAGGAAGTAGGATTAACAGTTCTTTTTTTTTTTCACATGGAAGAATATTTGTAGAAGTTCATTGTTTCCTAGTGACATTTTTATGGTTAACTTTGCAAGACACTGTGAAAGGAATAATAATTTTATGTCTCATAAATTTAATCTGAACAACGTTTACCTCTTTTTCTTTACAGATTCCTATAACTTTAGGTGTAATCCTAAATTCTTATTACGATGTGAAGTTTAATTTCCTTGGAACGGTGTTTGCTGCTCTTGGTGTTTTAGTTACATCCCTTTATCAAGTGGTTGGTAATTTTTTTTTTCTTTATGTGCCTTTTAGCAGATTTCATAAATTTTGAAGCTGTGCCTCAAGGTTTAGGCAATACAGTGTAGAAACAATAGACTGTTGGGAAGAAAGCATAATTGCATAAATTGTCTGACTCAAGTTGAAGAGAAGAAAGGAGACAGAAACGTGGGTGTATAGTGTTCACCAAGTATCTCCCTACTTGTTCGTAAGTGTATAATACCCACACTTTACAGTCTGAGTTTTGGGTGATGGTATAATGTTTTTTGGGAAATCCTTATAAAATGAGTAATAAGACATTTTTACTTGAGGATTGTGTTCATGGGTTTTATGGTATTTATCATTTACTCTTTAATTATGATGTTACTATGAAGGAGTAAGTACAAATCCAAAAAATTGAACAGGAAAGGAAAATTTCAGATTTATAAATCTTTGCCTCAAAAGATATTCTGCTGTTACAGCTTGTATATTCTAATTATTTGTCTCTGTCAGTATTTTATAGCAATGGGTATTTCACTTCTTGCACTAGCCTGATGCCTTGCCTGTGGGAGGCATTTACTGAAAACTTGTTCATGGATTTATTTACTTCATTACTGTAAAATCTCAACAAGTTTTTTTTTGTTTGTTTGTTTCTTATATAGTGGGGAAAGAATAATGAATGGCGAAGGGTACAGTGAAACAGTATTTTGTCTATACTGAAGACCTTGAACTGAAAATTCTGGGTGTGCCTGCATGGGGAATCAGAGCCAAATGTGTGATCAATTTTACTTTGTTCACAAGCATCCACTAGTTGTAAACTAAGGCATTTTTATTATGAATGTTAGGGATTTAATAATGCAGCCTTAGCATATTCTAGTACTGGTTAGTTCAGAAACATTGTTATGAGAAAATTCTGAGGTTGAATAAATTTCTTAGTGGCAGAGAAGCAGTTTAAATATAAGAGAGCAGTGACATGAAAGGATGGAGTACCCACTCAGTCTTGTCACTTGGCCCCAAGATATTCTTTTACTACAGAGAGAAATCAGAGGAAGCTCAGGTTTGTGCTTTAAGAAAACTGCATTTGGGCATACGTCAATGAGTTTAAATTTTTAATTAGATACTATTTATCGTTTTTTGTTAAATGGACTTTTTTGATTCAGTACGAATTATTTGTTAGAGCAAGAAATTTTATTTGTTGAACGTTAGAATTTCTTGTATCCTTTATGTATAACATCAATTCAGAGTACTCACTGGCCATGCCAATATGACCATTTTTGTTCAGACAGGTTTCAAAATTGCTATAGATTGGAGTCAAAGAATTCTGTATTTCTCAGGTAGATATATGAAATGAGGTTGACCAAGGACTGATTGTAGACTAGACTAAGTTATGGGCAAAGTTTTTGATTATTGCTAAGTGGTAAAAGTATGGTTACAGAATAGATATATCCCCCTAAAAATTCATTTTAAGGAAAATTGTATTTTCCTATTGTATCCTTGTATAATTTCCAAGTTATTTCTTCTCATAGTACTAGGACACTGAAAGGAATTAAGAGATGAGTTAAGAGCTGAATGAGTTAAGATGAATTAAGAGCTGTGTTAGATTTAGTTGTAGAAAGACGATTGAGTCTTTCATCCATTCAGCAGACATTTCTGCTTTATACTCAACCTTGATACAGAGATGAAAAGCAGCTATAATCCAGTATCAAAGAAATGCATGGAGAAAGCTGATCACAGGTAGTATAGCTCAGGGTATGAGGAAAGTTCTGAGGAACACCATGAAAAGAGAGAGTGTTCTGCAAGAAGGTGGTGGTCGGGTAAGGCTCTCTGGGAAAGTTCAAATTGAAGAACGCATAGGAATTTGCTTAGCAGAGAAATATAGCAGAGGTCTTTCTTTGCAATGATGTGTGAAAATACAGAGCATTTTTGGAGAAGTTGGTTCTTTTGGTGAGACTGGACTGTAGTTGCATGGTGGAAAGACAAGGCTGAGAGGTGGGTGAGACCAGATGGCCGAGTCTTGAGTATCATGCGGAGAAAGTGTGCCCTTTATCTTGCAGGCACCAGGACAGGAGTTCAGAGAGGGCAGTGACTTGATCATTCCCTGTGTTCTAGAAGCTTCTGGGGGCAGTGAAGGATGAATAAGAGGGAAGACAGGTTGACAGGCAGAGCAGTCAGGAAGTGCTCCATGGTTTAAGGAGAAGACTGGAAGGACGTGAACAGGACGGTGGTCCTGGACATGGAAAGGAAAAAACAAACTCCAGACACCTTTTGGAGAAAGAATTAGTAAGACCCAACTGAATGTGAGAGTGCAAAGCCTACTGAAAATGAGTCTGATCCTTGGGGGAGATTATATCATGAATTATTGGAGCAACACAGGGGGAGCTCTTTTGGGGAAAAAAGCGATCAGCTTAATCTTAAATAAGCTCCTGCAGATGATCTAAGTGAAATGGTCAATAAGCTGTTAAAGGAGTGACCTAAAGGATGCTCAGGGAAGAAGGTCAGAGCTCTAGGTGTCAGCGGAGGGGAAAAGATAAGGTGGGGAGGTAAAAGGAAAGCTGGACAGAAGGAAGAGGTGAGTGAGAAAGCCGCACAAACCAGAGGCGGGTTCTTCCCAGAGCAGTTGCAGGCTCTGCGGGGGGCTGCAGCTGGAAGGGGGCCGAGGGCAGTCCGTCCACGTGGCCGCTGGAGCAGCTTCATGGGAGGGGGACCGCAGAAGCCAGGCTGCGCTGCAGTGAGGGCAGGTGGAGGCCTGCGAGTCCCCACCCTTCCAGGCCTGCTCTCTCGTGCCAGGCGCACAGCTGCCCATCGCGGCTGCTAAGGCCACGCGGGGCTGTGCGTACACCGTCTGCATTCATTTTCGCTCACTGTGGTGTCCCAAGCCAAAGAATCAACTCTTTGTCCTTCACGTTCACAACAGACTCTTATTAAGGCTGGCAGGAGTGTGCTTCACATTTCCCGCTCTTCTATTTTTGTCTTGGTGAATTTCTATAGACTTAGCATTTGTGTAACAGGATACCCGGACCTACAGGAAAAAGAATTATGTAGGAGCAGTTATTCAAAAAAGCCGGGCTGTTTTTGCCAGGTCTTAGATTCAGACAGTCCTATCAAACTTGCTTTAAAACCTCTTTTTCAGTTATATTTGTGAAGCATTTTGAGAACTGAAAGGGTTTGAGGCTGTGGAGTGTCTGTTCTAAGGATAGCCTTTGTAGGGGTTGTGATTATCTATAGTTTATTGGGGGGGATTATTCGCAGAAAAGTCAGCCATAGAGAGGGAAGTTCCTTCTACTCTGCCACTGATTGAGTTTTCTGAAGTTAATGAAAAGCCCTCACATACCTTTCTGACCACACACGTTGGTGGCCACCTGGGATAAATGAGGTTTCTGTTAGTCTCCATTTAAGAGTCCACCCTGCCTCCCAGTCTTCATTTTGGGGGCCATTTTTAGAAGAAATTGGAAGTCTGACAGTGCATCTGTATTCCTGCTTATCCTGCTTATGAAGATTAGCATGCTTATTCCTGCTTATAAATATCCATTCCTGCCTAATTTTCCCAAGATCTCTGATACCTATGCATTGATTTTCCATATTTACTAGGATCTGGAGGGAAGAGAGGATTTTTTTTCCTCCTTTCATAGTAAGAAGAAAATCAATTATCAGACATGGAACATAGAAAACTCCTTTTATCCAAGGAGCTTTCAGGATATACATATATATTATTGATCTTTGAAATCTTAGGCGTTTTCCCTTCCCTCAGCCCTGCCCGCATTCCCACGTTTGTGGCCAAAGTTGCATCTTTGCTTTGTTGAGTGCCTCTATTTTTTTTGCCTAGCTTGTTCTCTCTCGTTTTCAGTGGGTGGGAGCCAAACAGCATGAATTGCAAGTAAACTCGATGCAGCTGCTATACTACCAGGCCCCGATGTCATCTGCCATGTTGCTGGTCGCTGTGCCCTTCTTTGAGCCAGTGTTCGCAGAAGGAGGAATATTCGGTCCCTGGTCAGTCTCTGCTTTGGTAAGTTCTAATTGTTTGGGTGGGTGTCTAAGAAACAAGGCAGTAATAATTATTGATGCAATTTTTAGTTTTCAGAGTGCTAGCTCAGATCCATCCTCACATTTAATCTTTATAATCACATGTTAAGGGAGGCAAGATAGAAGATTATTCTTTTTTTGTAATTTAATTTTATTATTTAGTTAGTTAGTTATTTTGGGGCTGTTCAGGGCCTTTGTTGCTGCGCAGGCTTTTCTCTAGTTGCTACAGACAGGGGCTAACCTCTAGTTGCGGTGCACGGGCTTCTCTTGTGGAGGTGGGCTCTGGGGCTGCGGCTTCAGCGGTTGTGGATGTCGGCTCGGTAGTTGGGGCTCTCGGTCTCGAGAACAAGGCTTAGTAGTTGTGCTTGGGCTTAGTTGCTCCGAGGCATGTGGGATCTTTCCGGACCAAGGATTGAACCTGTGTCTTGTGCATTGGCAAGCGGATTCTTTACCACTTAGCCACCAGGGAGCCCCAAAGATTATTCTTTAAATGAAGAAACCGAGGCAGAGAAAGATGAAGGGACTAGCTTAGGGTGCAACAGCTAGTCAGTGGCAAAACCAGGGCTAGAATTCAGGTCTTCTGATGCCTGGCTACTGTGCTAAGCATTCCTCTTTGTTGTCCAGTAGCTCAGGCGTGTCTGACTCTTTGCGACCCCACGGACTGCAGCACGCAGGCTTCCCTGGCCTTCACTATCTCCTGGAGCTTGCTCAAACGCATGTCCATTGAGTCAGTGATGCCATCCAACCATCTCATCCTCTGTTGCCCCCTTCTCCTCCTGCCTTCAGTCTTTCCCAGAATCACATCGGCACTTTGCATCATCAGGTGGCCAATCTATTGAAGCTTCAGCTTCAGCATCAGTACTTCCAATGAATATTCGGGGTCGATGTCCTTTAGGATTGACTGGTTTGATCTTGTTGGCCAAGGAACTCTCAAGAGTCTTCTCCAGCACCACAGTTTGAAACCACCAGTTCTTCGGCGCTCAGCTTTCTTTATGGTCCAACTCTCACATCCATACATGACTGCTGGAAAAACCATATTGGTTTTTCCACTATGGCTGCAGTCACCTTCCACAGTGATGCCAGGCTATAGCCCACAAATATTTGGGGCATTTATTTTTTTATAATGAAAATATAGCTTTGTTTATTTTATTGTAATAATGTAAGTAGTTCATACTATATATATATAGTAAATATTTTTGAACATACATAAAATTATAAAGTGAAAGTCCCCTTGAATCCTGCCACACTGGGATAATCACCTTTACTGCTTTGGTAATGACCATTTCATGGATCCTTTTGTATCCACAGATACATGCATGTGTGTATATGTTTAATTTCATTTATATGTAACCATATTACTTATGCTGTTTTTATCCTGGATTCCTTTTCCCCAGCCCCACTACCCATACACACTTCATCATCCCATTACCCAACCCCTTCTCCTTGAAGTAAGTCATGTTAACATTCTAGTGTTTGTTCTTGCATATTTTTCTCTGTGCTGTACATGCCCTCATATAAACACATACTACATGCACAAGCATGCATACACGCATGTATACTTAAATTATACACTTGTTTCTTTTACAGAAGTGGGATCATATTCCACAGATTTTCTTTTTTTTTAGAAATTCAAACAAGTCCTTACTGGGGCCCCTGCTGTGTTAGCAGGGACTTAGGATTTTCTGTATCTTGCTTTTCTCACTTAATGTCTCATAAAAATATCTTCACATCATTCTTTTGATGCCTGTAAAATAGTTCTAGTTCTTAACTACCATGAGCAGTACTGCAGTAAACAGCCTTGTACATGTGGCCTTACCAACTGGTACTTTTCATTCTGTGGAATAGTCTTAGAATGGGATTGCCAGATCAAAGGGGTCTGTACTTTGGGCGCGTTGTTTTAATAAAGTTAGAAAGCATAGTCCCCCTACTCAGGAACTTCTGCTTCCCGTATGTTAAACGCAGGGCATGGGCAAGTCTGTTTTGTTGGTGGTGTTAATTTATCAAAACACTGCAGTTTGGGCACCTTAGACTAGGAGGGGAGAGGCTTTATGTGCCTGGTCCTCTGACATTTAAAAATGAGGACCTCAGCAGAAAGACCAAAAATAAAGGTCAAAGGAACAAGAGCACAGCCGTCTGAGGCCGCTGGGTACGGGAGAATCACCTTCCTCTCTTCTTGTCTCTAGAGGGCATCATTGTCTCAAAGGAGAGGGTAACTGTGTCTAATGATGTGAAGGTCATCAAGAAATAGGCTTGTGACATACTGTAAACTCTGTAAAAGTAGCAGTGATACGTTCCTAGAAACAATTTTAAAATTTTAAGGGGCAAATTTCTCTTAGTTAAAAATTTAATGGGCCTCACTGTTGTTTTAAAAAAAAATAAGATATTACTGTTTCTAATTAAAAGACTGCAAATCTAACTCCCCTGATCCAGTTAGAACTGCACTGATTTAAAAACTGAGAAAACCCATAGGGGACAGAGTCTTCAAATATGACATGTTTTCTTTGGAATTTAAACTCCTTAGTAATTCAAATTATAACTAATATTTTCTCTAAATTCTATTTCAGCAGTAGATAATGGTTTTATAACCTTTTTTTTAAACTTTTTATTTTATATTGGAGTATAGTTGATTAACAGTGTTATGTTATTTTCAGGTATGTAACAGAGTGATTCAGTTATACATGTATCTGTTGTTTTTCAAATTCTTTTCCCAATTAGTTGTTAGGAATATTGAGCAGAATCCTCTACAGTAAATCCTTGCTGGTTATCCATCTTCAATATGGCAGTGGGTACCTGTCCATCCCAAACTCCCTAGCTATCCCTCCTCCCCACCCTTCACCCCTGGTAACCATGAGTTTGTTCTCTAAGTCTGTGAGCCTGTTTCTGTTTTATACAAAAGTTCATTTGTGTCTTTTTTTTTTTAAGATTCCGCATATAAGCGATATCATATGATCTTTCTCTTTGTCTGACTTGTTTTCTAACTTTTCAAATGAAATGGTGGGATATGTGTGGACAGAATGTCATGCGTGTCTACAGTGGGAGAGCCTCATTGTCTCCCATCCTCAGCCGAGTAGGCTTACTCATGTCCCATGCACACACACCTCGGCGTTTATTCCTCTGCTTTGACCCATACTGTTTCCTGCCCCTGTTATTTCTTTTTCTAATCCAAAGACTTTCTTGCTATTCCAGCCCAAAAGGACCTCTCCTGTCTGGAGAAGCCTGTAGAACCTACTGTCTGTTTGCCTACTGATGGGGTTAGAGCTCAAGACTACTTTTCTTTTCTTGCCTGAGCTGTGCATTTTGTATTGTACTGTTGTTTAGTCACTCAGTTGAGTCTGACTCTTTCTGACACCGTGGACTGCCCATGGGAATTTTCAGGCGAGAATACTGGAGCGTGTTGTCATTTCCTTCTCCGGGGACTCTTCCCGATGCAGGGATCGAACCCGCATCTCGTGCAGGCCTCCTGCGTCGCAGGCAGATTCTTTACTGCTGAGCCGCTGGGGGAGTGTCATTTGGTTAAGAGGCAGCACAGCAGAGCCAGTTAGGAGCAGAGACTGCGGAAGCGGACTGCCCTGAGTTTAGGTCCCGGCCTTCCCCTTCCTAGCTGTGTGTCTTAGGCAGGTTACTTGACCTCTTTGTGCTCTGTTTTCTTGGCTGTAAAAAGGGAAAATATTTTATTCTCTCATGGCTGTTTGCAACAATTAAGTGAATTAATACATGTAATATATTTAGGATGATTCTTCTTGTTTGGTCAGCTCTATGTAAGTATAAGCTGTGATTATATTATAAAGATTTGTATGATGTCCTTGAGTGGTTTCTGAAATCTTTGAGAGTAAGAACCCATTGTGTTCCTTATAAGGCCTGGCCTAGTTTTGTGGATAGCGAATGAATGCCTACTGATTCAATTTAAATCAGAATAAAATGAGCAATTCAAAGGAAAAAAGGTGTAAAAGGATATATGCAAATGTATTAACTGTGGTGAGTGGTTGGGATTATAAGAATTCCTTATGAGTTCTCTTCACAGGGAAAAATACTTTTTTCTATATGTTTAACTATGTATATGTGTGGATGGTAGATGTTCTCTATTCTTGCTGTGGTAACCATTCCATAATGGCCTGTTTATGGTTTAGTCGCTCAGTCGTGTCCGACATTTGCCACCCCATGGACTGTAGCCTGCCAGGCTCCTCTGTCCATGGATTCTCCAGGCAAGAATACTGGAGTGGGTTGCCATTTTCTTCCCCAGGGTATCTTTCCCACCCAGGAATCGAACATGGGTCTTCTGCATGGCAGGCAGATTCTTTACCGACTGAGCTACAAGGGAATCCTGTTTCGTAATGTGTGTAGGTCAAATCATGATGCTGTATGCCTGAAACTTACGCAGGGCTGTGTCAATTACATCTCAGTAAAAGTAGAAGGAAAAAAATGCCTTATGTTCTTTTTGCTCATCTTTATTTTCTAATTTTTCCATAATGAATATATATTACTTTTAAAATAAGAAACTATTAGAAAATAATTTTTCACTGGATAGATAAGGAAAACTAACCTGGAAATTTACATTCAGAGTCAGCATATTGTTGAAGGAATTTTCCATTGCATTTTGTAGACAAAATTGCAGTTTCAAATACTGCTCATTCTGCTTTTTTACCCTCAGTTCTTGCTTTCTCCGAACTTGATTATCTCTTTTTAAAATCTTATTTTGGGAAATTCCCTGGCAGTCCAGTGGTTTGGACTCGAGGCTTCCACTGCAGGGGGTCCCAGTTTTGGTACCCTGGTCGGGGAACTAGGATCCCATAAGGCACGGTGGTGCGGCCAAAAAAAAGTCTTGTTTTTAATGGTTGATAGAAGTGCTTGATAAAGTATATTTTCACTTGATGATTGTAATTATTGCAGCTGCTTTTCATTAATGATTCTTTTGGTTTATTTGCAGCTGATGGTCCTGCTCTCTGGAGTAATAGCTTTCATGGTGAACTTGTCGATTTATTGGATCATTGGGAACACTTCACCAGTCACGTATCCTTTTCTTAACAGTTCACAGATGCATAGTCTTTTATATTCTCCAAGACTCTGTCATATTGATTTCTTTATTTGAGTCTCACACTTACTGTTGCATGGTCTAAATTGAGTAGAGTGGGTTATTTTTAGTCTTTATGGAGATTTAACAAACTGTGAACTGGGGAGGTGGGTTAGCTTTCTGTATCGTAAATGCTTTTGAATTTTCTTAAGGAATAGGTGAGCTTTTCCCTTACCAGAATTAATGCAGAGCACCAGTCCTTGCACATAAACATTTGTTGAGTGAATAGTGAGGTAAATACTTAGGTTTCCCATCACCTTTCAGTTATTGATAGTTTGATAATAATACAAAGGAGTGGTTAATCTAAGTAAACAATAATTTCAGACCAGTCACTCTGACTTGTGAGTTTATTTTTGTACTTGTCTGGCTGGGTGTGCCTGCTTTTCTCAGTATTACTTCACATCGAGAAGTGAAGTCATGACTTGGGAAGATCTTAATCAAACGCAGCTGCCCCCTTTTAGCATTTCGCTCATAATGAGTGAACGCTGAGCTGTCCACAAATATAGAAGCAGCATTTGACAGCTAACAATGAATAACAGCAGTTCTAATAGTAATAATTCAGAGGCGACAAAAACAACACTTACTAAATGTTTCTTCTGTGCCCGGCACTGTTTGAAACACCTTCTGTGTATTAACATTTAGTTTTTATAGCAGCTCAATGAAGTAAATTCTGTCTCTGTCCTGCCGAAGAGGGAGTGGAGGTGCAGAGGGGTTGAATAACTCATTTGGAGTCACCCGGCCGAGAAGTGTGATGTCCAGGTTTGAACCTGGGTGGTCTAGCCAGGACTTATGCTGCCAGATCAAAGCATCCAAGTGTGTGCCCTAACTAAGAACATCCATTCATTCATTCAGCAAATATTAACTAAATGCCCACTGTAAACCATTCCTTGACTTAGTAAATATTCACATACTGAGTATCATTGCCTGTATGTCAGGCATTGACGATACAGTGGTGAACCGAAGAGACGAAAATCTCTGCTCTCACAGGCTTAAGTTCTGGGGAGAAAGGCTATAAAGAAGAAAAATGTGCATATGCAGTGTTAGATAGTGTTAAGTGATAAGGAGAAAAAGATGAAGCAGCGAAGGGGTTGTGAAATATTGGGTGAAGTTTTACGGAAGGTAGTCAGGAGGGCCTCGCAAAACGGATGCTTTTGCATAAAGACCTGAAGGAAGTGAGGCTGCCCCACACAGAGTGGGGTGGATAGCATGGCCAGGCAGGGAACAGCAGGCGAGAGACTGTGTGGCTGGAGCAGGGGAACACAGGGTGGCTTTAGGAGGACTCAGAGTAACAGGGGGTCAAACTGAGCAGAGCTTTTACATGAGATGTGACGCCATTGAGCAGGGACATGACATGATTTTATGTCTGTTTTGGTAGGATCCCCCTGGGCTGTTGTGTTGAGAACAGGCAAGGCAAAGATTTTCAACCTCAGTGCTACTGACCTTTTGATCCAGACAGTTCTTTGTTGCAGAGGCCTGTCCTGTCCATTGGAGGATCTTCAGCAGCATTTCTGGCCTCCACTCACCAGATGCCTATAGCAGCCTTTTCCCCAATTATGAAAGCCAAACACGTGTCCCTGCCCAGATGCCAGAATCGCTCCCAGGTGAGAACTGCTGCTCTGAAACGGGCAGGCGATGAAGGGGAGCCGTCTGCTGCCGCTGCAGTACGCTCATGTAGAAACTACGCTGGTTTGGTACCGGAGAGTCCCAGTGGACGCAGTGAGAAGTGACTGGACTCTGGGTATATTTCCAAGTAGAGCCAGCAGGTTTTGCAGGCAGATTGGATGTGGAGAATGAGAGGAAAGAAGGTAGACCCACCCGTGTTGAGCCTGAGCCCCTGGTGGAGGGCAGTTGCCGGGGACTGCAATAGCACAGCCCGAAGGAGGTGTGGAGGCGGGGAGGAAGACCAGGTGCCCAGCTTGGGGTGAAGCAAGTCTGAGAGTTCAGGATCGAGGTCTTGCCCACAGGTATTCTGGAGAGAGTTGGTGGTGTGTAGATGTGGTTTGAAGCAGTGAGTCTGGCTGACATTCCTAAGCACACAGATAGAGGGAAAAAAGGTGTCTAAAGACCGAGTCCTGGGTCACTTCGGTGCTTAGACTGCGGAGATGACAGGAGCCAGGTGGAAGGGGCAGTCGAGGTGGAAGGAAGGAGGAGAGGGTGTAGAAACCCAGAGAGGAGGAGGGGAGTCAGCTGTGTCCAAGGCTGCTGCCAGCTCACGTCCAGGTAACTGAGGAAGGGGCTTGTGAGGTGGAGGCGCTGATGATTTTGACAAGAACTTTAGAGTGCCCGTGTGGAAGCCGACTGGAAGAAAGTGGAGAATTAGAGGAGGTGGAGATGTTGAATATTGGTTGCTCCTGCTTGGTTTTTTTCTTTTCTAGTTTACAAGAGGACTCACTGAAGAATTTCTTTAAATTTGCCTTTCCTCTCATATAAATATCTTTAACAGACCTTGACCACTTAAAGGCTGAGGAGTGAGGCAGTGCTGACATGTGGGAGCCAGTGCACTTGAAGATAGGTCAGAGTTGAAAATGAAGCCTGTTTTATTACAGTTATAATTAGCATCCTTGAGAAGGTCCTCTGTCCCACAGGAAAGTTACCCCTGTTGAGGCAGGCAGGTACCCCGGTGACCTGGCGTGTGCTCTCCTGGCCAGAAGGAACTTCCTGGTTGCTTAGTTGGGCTCCGAGCAGAGGAGGGAACCTGGGCGCTGAGTGGGGCACGTCCGGGCATGCCGGTGCAGTTCTGCCACTGCCTCAGTGGGTGCTGGGAGACCTCTGGTCCCGCTCTCATCATTTATGGAGTGGGGGTCATGGTGCCTGCATGATTAGGTTGCTGTGAGTGTCTGAAAGAATATGTGTCCAGCGCCTGGCCAGTGTTTACTAGGCGTGAGTACCATTGTTAATGGGCTTCTCTGGTAGCTCAGCTGGTACAGAATCCACCTGCAATGCAGGAGACCCCGGTTCAATTCCTGGATCGGGAGGTTCCCCTGGAGAAGGGATAGGCTAACCCATTCCAGCATTCTTGGGCGTCCCTGGTAGCTCAGACAGTAAAGAATTTGCCCGCAATGTGGGAGACCAGGGTTCAGTCCCTGGGTTTGGAAGATCCTTTGGAGGAGGGCATGGCAACCCATTTTTGCCTGGAGAATCCCCAGGGACAGAGGAGCCTGGCAGGCTACAGCCCGTAGGGTCACAAAGAGTGAGACACAGCGGAGCGACTAAGCGCAGCGCAGCACTGCTCTGAATAGTTCACATATAGGACCTTGCCGGCGGCTCGAAGGCTTGTGTATGCTCGCTTAGTTAATCCTTGCTGTGACGCCGGGGCAGGGTGGTAGCTCTTTCTAGTATTGTTGTCAGGAAGAGTCCATGGGTACGTATCAGACATCTGAAATATAATAAAGTACTAATTCATATAGAAAAAACTATTGAAAATTCAGTAAGAATAGTTTGTAAAGGTACCAGTTGTGTCTTTAGTTAGCCTTTTAAGTGAACAGTGATTTGGAAATGCCTTCACCCNCCAGGCTGGATGTGAAGGCTGAATCAAGCTCTCAGGCTATGTCTTTTCCAGCACCGCTGCTACACACTTCAAACCATCAAAGGAGCATCATAGGCTTGCTGCTGCCCCAACACCAGACAGGAAACCCACCCAGGAGTCTTTAGCTCCTTAGGAACCTGAAAGTTCATGACACAACATGGGCAAACCACATACAGCCCAAAGGCCAAAAAAGTGTCCATCTGAGCCCAGAGCTAAGTTACCAGCTATCAGCAGCCTCTCCCAGAACTAGTTCAAGGCAATAATGATCGAGTCTTAACACAGGTTAAAGGTGATCCACTCAGGGGACCTCCCTGGTGGTCCGGTGGTTGTGTCTTCACCCCCCAAAGCAGGGGATGTAGATTCCATCCCTGGTCAGGGAGCTGAGATCCCACAAGCTGTGTGGCATGACCAAAAAATAATAATAATAAAATTAATTAAAAAATAAAGTAAATATAACTTTCTCTTTTAGAGTACCTTTTAAGAAAAACTTTATCCTCTAAAGCATGGCTCATGCTGCTTTTCCAAGGCTGTTCTATGAAGTATATAGGATGGTTTGGTTATATCAAATGAAGTACCTGAAATTACAGTTTTATAAAGGTGACAAAGGAATTCAGATCACTGTACCACAAATGTGTAATGGCTTTTAAGGAAGGACACATAAGATTCCTCTGCTTGCTCATAGGTGGTCCGCAATATGAGTTCTTTTATAATTGAAGCCAAAGCGTTCAAGTCAGAATTTAAAGCTAGCATTTCTATTTTAGTTGTTTTAGTATAACGTCTTGCTTTTTTCATTTACGGAAATGACATATGATTGCTGGAAAGCACAGTGCAGTTAAAGGAGACCATAAGGCAAAAACCAGTTCTGAAAGTATTATTCCTCCAGTAGAAAGTGGACGTAAGAAGTCAATGTTACAAAAAAACCCTGCAGTTTCTATGGGTGTTCTCTTGATGAGCTCTCAGGGAGCTCTAGAAACTAATGAAGTTCAAAAATAAAAGAGCTCCATGTTTAAATGACTCAAAGAGAAGACTACAGGAGAAACAGAGCAGGTTTCTTCTTCTCCTGGTGACTGTTCTCCTGGCTTCTTTGAGCAACTCATGTCGATAATTGCTTCAGACTCCCTCCCAGGCATCACTCCCCCACACCCACATGTGAGGTGTCTGTAGAACTTTCTTTGACACTGAAGGGTCTGAAGTGAATTGTGCCAACCTTTCTAAGTGGGCTGAGCAAGTCAAGGTAGATTTTATCAGAGATTAAGCAGAAACTTGGTGAAGATATGAGGAAAGATTTGAAAGAGAAGTAGAGAAATAGTCAATATTTAACAAGTTCCATGAATTTTTTTAAAGGGATAATTAAATAAGTTCTAGGGGAAATCCATGATTTTACTTAAGAATATAATAGTGTCACATACTGAACTGCCAGATCTATTACTGGCTTCCCACTCTTGACATTTGAGCACCCAAAGCAGTTGTTGATAACCTCTCACAATAAATTGACTGAGCCAGAAAATCCCTCTTATAATAATTCTTTTTCTAAATGTTCTTTAGAAACTTCAAGTGAGAGAAACAGCTCTCTGGAGGATGAAACGTCACATGTATAAAAATGCACCTTTTAGGACCATTTTTTTCCCCCTGGCCTATTTGAAATGAAAAGCCTCACTGAAAATCGATTTTGACAGAATTTCAATGTATCAGTCAGTCTGTTGTGTGATTTTTATGTGTGGTGTTCTGTTATTGTTTTAAATACTTTTGGTTCTTCTCACTTTCCAAAGATACATTTTATTGTGCTAAGAAATACAAAGCAATTTGTCTTGCCAGATGAGCTTCAGGAGTCATGTTTGTCTAAGGAATGTTCTCTGTGTTTTAAATGAATGTATAATTGTTTCCCAAAAGCTGGAGAAAAGTACTTCAGTATTTCAGAGGATCATGTGACTTCTGTGCACTAACAGCTGAGTCGATTTGTGCTATTTACAGATTCTTCTTAATTGTAAATACAACTTGGGGGTTATAATAAATGTTGGGGAAGAGCTGTAATAAATGACTGATGTCAATAGGAATTCAGGGAAGGCTGGAGCAAGATAGCGTGGGGTGGGGTGGTTGTGGATCTATAAGTGAATAAAATATATACTACTGGAACTATAGCCCGATAAACTTTTTTTTTGCCCTGAAGACCGTCTTCTCATTGAAAAGGAAATTCCTGGGGGGAAAATGTACCAGATAATGAGGACCAACCACGGAGACAAACCAGAAATTCTGTGCTATGGAAGAAAATATGCTGGCTGGCCTTTTGTTAAGGATGTAATTGCACTTGTTTTTTTACTGTATGTTAGATGACCATACTGCAGTTTTTACCTGTTATAAATAAAGAGAACCTGATGTTTTTACTTTCCAATTGCACGTTAGAACTAGTAGAGGAAGGATGGCATCTGTGTGTATGCAGGAGTGACGCTGGCCTGTCCAGCTCCCAAATCTGCATCCCCTAAGGAAGCAGAGGAGAAGGGGACGACAAAGGATGAGATAGTTGGATGGCATCACTGACTCAATGGATATGAGTTTGAGCAAACTCAGGGAGATGGTGAAGGACAGGGAGGTCTGGCTTGCTGCAGTTCATGGGGCTGCAAAGGGTCGGACACGATTTAGGGACTAAACAGCAACAACAAAGAAAGTCCTTATCTCTTTTAGAAGAACATAAAGGAGGGACATCCCTGGTGGTCCAGTGGTTGTGAACCTGCCTTGCAGTGCAGGTAGTGTGGGTTCGATCCCTGGTCAAGGACCTCAGATCCCACATGACTTGGGGCATCTAAGCCTGTGCCACACTACTAATCCCGCAGACCACAACTAGAGTCTGTGCGCCACAAGGGAGATCCGATATAACCAAATAAGTAAAAAAGTAAATCTTTTTATAAATAAAATCACATAAAGAAGAAATTCTCTTCTCTGTGAAATGAAGCAAATTTTCTCCTGTTCATTTTTGAAAATACTTTTTAAACCTGGCTATTTTCAAATCACTAGTTCAGAACAGTTTTCATCTGTTCTGAAAAATCTATAAACAACTAATGGAGCACTCCACATTGACCT